AAAAAACCCTAAGATTTTATTTATTTATTTATTTATTTATTTATTTATTTATTTATTTATTTATTTATTTATTTATACCCTGCCTATCTGGACCAGTGGACCACTCTAAGCAGTTGGTCCCAGATCACGGCCACTGGTCCCATCACCTCCTGGCAAGTAGAAGGGAAAGATATGGATGTGGTGACAGATTTTACTTTCTTGGGCTCCATGATCACTGCAGAGTTTGACAGCATCCATGAAATTAAAAGATGGCTGCTTCTTGGGAGGAAAGCGATGACAATCCTATGGGTTTTCCAGTGGTGATGTATGGAAGTGAGAGGTGGACCATAAAGAAGGCTGACAGTCGAAGAATTGATGCTTTTGAATTGTGGTGGTGGAGGAGGCTCTTGAGAGTCCCCTGAACTGCAAGGAAAACAAACCTATCCATTCTGAAGGAAATCAACCCTGAGTGTTCACTGCAATGAGAGATCCCAAAGCTGTGGCTCCAATACTCTGGCCATCTCATGAGAAGAGAAGACTCCCTGGAAAAGACTCTGGTGTTGGGAAAGACTGAAGGCAAGAGGAGAAGAGGATGACAGAGGACGAGGTGGTTGGACAGTGTCATCGAAGCAACCAGCATGAATTTGACCAAACTCCAGGAGGCGGTGGAAGACTGGAGGGCCTAGCGTGCTCTGGTCCATGGAGTCACGAAGAGTCGGACACTACTTAGCGACCAAACAACAGCAACAATATGTTGCCCTCCCCACCACAGCAAGCTGGTTTCTCACTTTACCACCCTCTGAAGAATGGAAGGTTGAATCAACCTCGAGCAAGCTATCTGAGCCCATTGGGATCAAACTCAGGTCATGAGCAGAGTCTTGACTATAGTACAGCAGTTTAACCACTGCATCATGAGGCTCCTAACAGTGGATGAGTAATTTCGAAATATAAGACCATCCTCAGTAAAAGAAGGTACACAGACATCCTAGCAGGGCCCTGAGAATCTGTGTCTTCCTGAAAGTGTCTATTGCTAAGAGTCAGTGGCTCATATTTACTTTCTAAAACCTTTAATTCTAATCACAGTTTATCATTCTATCTTCAACCATTGAGAGCCTATTTATTACTTGTTTTTCTCTGGGAAATGTTTTAGTAGGGTATTGTTCTTGATTATCCTTAAAACATAGCTGTTTTGTACTCTGCATTTGTTGTTTTGGAAAGAAGCAATCTGCTGCTCCTGACTCAAAGGCCGTAAGTGTTCACATCAAGGCAAATATATCCTCCTTGCTTAATTTTGGTTTACATATGAATATTAAGAGTATTTTGCTTCACAACGCTGGCCCATGCTCCTAGGGCTATGTCCTCATCCCACGGTGATGGGATAACCTTTCCCTTAGATCTTGCAGCCATGTTTTTGTCTAGACTAGCACTTACTACTGCTTATTCAACTTATATGCAGAATACATCATGCGAAAGGCAAGACTGGAGGAATCCCAAGCTGGAATCAAGATTGCCAGAAGAAATATCAACAACCTCTGATATGCAGATGATACCACTCTGATGGCAGAAAGTGAGGAGGAATTAAGGAACCTTGTAATGAGGCTGAAAGAGGAGAGTGCAAAAAACGGTCTGAAGCTCAACATCAAAAAAACTAAGATCATGGTCACTGGTCCCATCACCTCCTGGGAAATAGAAGGGGAAGATATGGAGGCAGTGACAGATTTTACTTTCTTGGGCTCCATGACCACTGCAGATGAAGACAGCAGCCACGAAATTAAAAGTTGCTTGCTTCTTGGGAGGAAAGCGATGACAGCATCCTAAAAAGCAGAGACATCACCTTGCCAACGAAAGTCCGCATAGTCAAAGCTATGGTTTTTCCTGTAGTGATGT